TACGCCGGAGAGGTGGAGCTGGGGCGCGGCAGAGGTGAGCTGGGATCCCCGATAGGAGAGGGGGCAAAGTTTTCCCGTCTTGTTGTTTCATTCATCCCCAAAACAAACACATGCACGAGCCAGGTATGCGTCTTTACGACAATACGCGCTAGAGCTCATGGGAAATGTAGGCTTCATTCTGGCAAAACACTACCGCTTTTGTCCACAGGGTCGCCAAAATCAACTCAAAATGAAAGTTCCTTGTAGGGGCTTTAATATAACGGTACCTCTGTTAATCCTTTTTGTATTTGGTGTGTTGTAGCATCATTTCCACTATTGTTGTGAAGTCCTATCCTTTATCTTTCTTACATCTATTCCCTGACTTGTTTTGTATGTTTTTATTGTGTTGCCAAAAAGAGGCTATTCTCATTCCTTTGAAAAGTAGTGCACTAGAACTTGTATATAATCCATGTAATCAGGAAGGTTGCGGTTGAGATTATGTGACCAATGTGATAACAGGAGTGAAAAAAGAAGTAGTAAAAAGAGTGAAAGTTCACATAACAAGGCAGGATGGAGTGGTGAATAGGTCAAACAAAGTGAACTTTGAGTTATTTCAAGGTACATTGTCACCATGTTTCTCTTCCTAAACTTACTTAACTTTGCATTGAGTATGTAGCTTTATGTTAAGTACATTACATGAATACGCCAATCATGTTTCTTTTCCTAACCTTAACTTAGATAACTTTATTCTCCTAAACCTAACCTATGCAACTTTATGTTAAGCACTTAACTTGATGAAGGCCAGCCATGTTTCCTTTCCTTAGCCTAAACTACGTAACTTTACGTGTAGTCCGCACCTTTATGTTAAGTACGTTATATGATGACAACTTGGTTCTATTCCTAAACCTAACCTATGCAACTTCACATTAAGTACGTAATGTGATGACATGTTTCTTTTCCTAAACCTAACCTAAGTAACTTTACGTTAAGTATGAAACTTTTATGTTAAGTACATAAGATGATGACGTTTCTTTTCCTAAACCAAACCTATGCAACTTTACGATAAGTATGAAGCTTATCGTTAAGTTCATAAGATGATGACATGTTTCTTTTCCATAACCAAACCTATGTAACTTTTCGTTAATTACGCAATGTGATGACACCTTGTCTCTTTTTCTAAACCTAACCTACGTGACTTTACTTTAAAGTACGAAACTTAATGTTAAGTACGTAATATGATGACAACATGTTTCTTTTCCTAAATTTACCCGACATAACTTTACATTAAGTACATAACGTGAGATGACACCTTTTTTGATTTCCTAAACCTAACGTACATAACTTTATGTAAAGTATGAAACTTAACATTAAGTACGTAACGTGATGACACCATGTTTCATTTACTAAACCTAACCAAAGTAACTTCATGAAGGTTAGGTTGCCATTGATAATGACGATACCATTCTTGGGGTGCTAATTTGTTACACATCACTCAAACCGTTGTATGTGTATTTTCGTAAGATATCATTAATCATTATGCATATACGTTCGACTACCCAATGGCTTTAATTTTGTCCATAACTCTTAATTACATTTTGATTTATAGATTTTTCTCTTTAAACCCTGTTTTGTCAAATCCTGTTATTTTTAAAAGTTTTTCTGTGAATGTATTTTACTTTACATGGCTGTAATGATTCCCAGCAGACACTTGGGTAACACTATCAAAAGTGCAGACCACTTTGAACACATCTGTTGTTTGTCCATCACCACAAAATGTACAGATATTCTTCACCCTAGAGCATGATTTATAACGACCCTGAACTTTCTGGCCGTCGTCCTCCTCCAGGATCTCACTCTTCATTTGTGACCATTTAACAAAAGCTTTCCATTTTCATTCCCCATTACAAGCCCTTGATACGCACTCGTCTATCTTAGCCCCTCTGATTAGCTCAAACTATTAGCCTCATGAAAACAAATGAGACACACACACATGCACTGCAGCATGCTCACAGTCCATCAGCAGGCTCTCTAAGCTTTTATTGCTTCAGTAGATGGACTCATGATATTCCATGATTAAACAGCTAAATCGCGGGGAGGAAGAAGAAAACAAGACAGAAAAAATGACATAAATCCTCGCCACGCAAAATCATTAGTCATCTCAAATTAAATTAACTGTCTGTCTTTGATAATACAACGTCATTTGATTCAAGCTAAGCTGCTTTTATTTCACTGGGCTCAGAGAAGTGCTGAGTCCCGCTCGCTGTTTGTTTCCTATCAGGGTGGGTGATAAAAGAACGTGGCCCTGAGGCAAAGTAATAGCAATAATCAAATGGGTTGTTTATCCCGGTTCCATTGGGTGACATTTGCTTTGCCTCTGCAGCAGGACATCTAACTAACAGTAATGCAATTTCCTACGAGGAGATTGGATTAAAATGTTCTGACCTGATGAGGATGTGGCTTCACAAGTCTGCATCAGATTGCTGCATCTTCTGGTCTCCATGTTTTCCATACAGGCCAGGTGTGCATGGCGTTATGATCTGTGGTATTCTGTGTCAAGAATGTATCACCAACAGAAGATTACAAACTTACATGCAGCTATTGCACATGTGTCTTCTTTGCAGCAGGCTAATTTCTAGCAAATTAAACCCTAAGGCAACATTTAGTCCTCTTTCATTTGTGGCTATCTCACAGTAAATGTCCAAATGTGTTAATCTAACTGACTCAGCTTAAAGAATGAAGTGTTTTAGTGGACAAATTCATGTTGGCAGACTGTCAGTTAACCCTAACTGTGTTAGCTCCAAGGTGGGGCAGTATAAATGGGGCATTAGAAGTCACAGGCAAAGGTCTAGGCTTATCGAGGGGCTTTGGAATGGGACTGCCATGGACGCTCATACGTTCACATGTAGGAGGAAAAAAAATGTAGGTATGTGCGCCCTCATTTTGCTTCATTTGCACTGTTTTGGTGTGCGTTTTGACACCTTGCATTATATTCTGATTGATTTGAAAGCTGGTTTAAAGTGACTAAACTGCTCCTCCAGTGTGTTCTGTGTTCTGTGGTGAGGCTTTTGCATGTGCATGTCTGTGCTATGGTTTGTGTAGAAAGCTCGTCTGACCGTCCATGCATTCAGCCTCATGCTGTGTGAATGGAAATGGTGAAAGCCACAGTGCAAAGCCTCGCCTCTCTTCTCCTCCTCTCCTCTAAATCCAGCCCAATATGTTTGTTTTTCGCTCTTTGCTTGAGTGTCACATTTGTAGAATTTATGGGGATGCATGAACTCCACCTCCAGCACACTAATGCCTCTGCTGGAAACAAAGAATATGAGAGAGCATACTCTCACACTGGACCTCTTTTGCCATCTTTCTCATATCCTTATTTGCCAAATTCCTATTCCAAACTGTGATTTTTCTTGTTTAAATCACCTATAGTTTGTATTTGCATCAATATCCAGTACAGACAATCCACTATTTCTAAAAGCAATGCACAAACACAGTCTAATATTTGCAAAAACCTGCAGGATAATTCCCAACAATCCCTCATTTTTATGTGAGATTTCACATCCAAGCAATGCAAGTACCCCACCGTCTCTATAGAAGCCCTTTTCCACTTCAAGAGGCAGCGCTGTGACAGTGCTGTTCTGCAGGTTGCTGTGGGTGAGGGACCATTGTTGGGCTGACAGTGTCCGCTGCTGGTTGGAGCGTTAACTGCAGACGGTGCCTCCTGCAGCATCGCGGAGCAGGAGGCGCGCTGTGCAGACAGGGGACATAAAGTCGTGTGTGCATCCACAGGCAGACCTGTGAGTCAGTGAAGTGGGGTGAGGTGAAGGGGAGAAAAGGCACCTAAGCACCCGTGCACATGCCTGTGCGTGATTTTTAAAATAGCAGGATCATAAATTCCCCTTTATGTGAATTTAATAAGCATCTATATGATCTGTATTTTAATTCTAGGCGGTATATATTCAGTTGCCAGGCAGGTTACAGCTCCTCTGCTTTTCCTCTCCTTACACTTTTTTTTCTGTGTTGGAAATGAATGAAAAGAGTGATCCCTCTATAGCAGCGCCAGCTCCACCCATCCTATATCCTTACCTCCATACAGCTGGGTATCAACAGGTGCGTCAGGCGTGCGCAGAACAAAGCGCACACCAGTCGAGATGCAATCCAAACCGCTCCGGTCCCCCATGAGCTCCAAATGTTTAATTACAGCCACAAACGGCAGATGGCTCTCTTGAGTTTTAATTTCTGTGCCTGTGATTGAGCCTTAAGATGATATTACCCCCCCTACACACGCTACACACACACACACACACACACACACACACACGCACACACACAAGAATCAAATATGTTGTCTCTTTTTTTATTGTGCAGAACCGACATGTGTAATTCATCATGTAAATGGAGGAATAATGTGGAAGTGGAGCATTAAGCGGGTGTCCAGTTGCTTGTGGTTCACATCCTGCTGGTGGTCGTTGAAGTGAGGATGATGATGTCCGACTGGAGGAAGCGTTTCCATCTTACAGGAGTGTGTATGGTGCTGACATGAGCGGCGCTGTCCGCGGTGCTGAAACAACAGCAAATGGAGCGCAGCCTGGAGGGATGAAACCATATGAATGTGCCTCTTTAACACATGTGCAACTACTAGTGTTTTCCCTATGAAGTTGTGGCCATTTTCTTAATTTATTTTCACTTCACAAACCATGTAGATTTGACTTTATAAGGGAGGTGGGAGCCCATTCTGTGCCACTCTGCCTGTTGTCTCATGTATTATAATTTCTGTGGGGGATTCCAGGTATTAAGCAGCATAAAAATGCCCAACAGCAGCTGGTTTATTTTAAAATAAATGCACTATAGAGCTCAAACTGAAGCCAAATCTCACCATCTAACGTCAGCATCAGGACCCGGCTGCTCATTCCCCTCCAAGCAGGGGCTTGGTGGTCGAGAGGGAGCAAGTGGGGGAGGGCATCCTCTCCACTCAGGCGTGTACTAACGAGTGGTTACGACTTGTTGATGGGAAGGATTTGTTGATCTGGGTGTGTATATAGACCGAAACGCTTCCTATGGTGTTTTTTCCTCTCTCTGAGCGTGGGAAAGTAAATTGTGCTGTATATCTGTGCCTTTACGCACCGATCGCCATACATGCATATCCCACGCCTGTGGGCTCTGTAGGGAAAATCCACTGGGTCTAAGTGTCTGCTGGTGATCAGCCCGGGGGGGTTAAGTTTATATATTTGTATGCAGCTTGTCACACAATGCAGACGTCATCTCCACTGGATTTAGATCAGCTTTGGTGATGGTTTTTCTTCCTCCTCTCCGGCTCCTATCGCGCCCAGCCTCCTGTGTTGTGAGTGTGGAATACAGTGAAGGGGAATATGTTATCCGGCAGGTAGTTGGAATACAAGTTCATGTAGCCTGCTGCATCAATTTATAACTCTACTACGGTTACGTATTTCTTCCCGTCTCCCCCAAACGTGCGACTGTTGATCAATCACCGCAGGGTCGCCGTCGCGGATTGCTCCTCGCAAACTTGGAGTTGGCTTCGCCCGGTGCTGCTGTGCCTTTCACTCGAGCGGTGATCTTCGTAGGAGGCGCCTGTATTTTTTGCTTGATTGCTGGCGGCGCACATGCACAGGCGTCCCCCCCTCCAAAACAGCGGCTTGTGATAGAGCAACCTCGTCTGGAGGAAGGAGGAGGAAAAACGGAGGGTGAACGGAGGAAAGAGTGGGTGAGTGTGCGGTGAGGACGCTGCAGCCGGTGTTGGACATTTAAGGAGGCGATGCTACTGAACATGTCACAGACAATGAGCAAAAACACCACTGTGCAGGTATGAATAAACCTCTGAAATCTCGGTCCGCGTGAGTTTGGCATAGCTCTCCATCAAGACTATGGTTATTGATGCATGTATGGAATTACGCATGAACTGATCTCTTTTTTTTTTTTCACCATCATGTCCAAGAATTTTTCCCGTGATGATGACAGCTGTTTTAACAGCGCAATTACCATGTAGTATTTGGACAAAACAGAAAACCAGCTCATGAAAAAGACACACATTTGACATTTGACATCGCGGAACGGACCACTTAGCCGCCACCATGGGACTGTGACCCGGGCTGCGAGCTCTGAGAGGCGGCTGTTTGTGTAGTCTGTGCTCCGTGTGCAGACTGGACCTGAGCAGTTGTGACATTTTGAGCCATGGCTGCTGCTATCGCGAGTGGGCTGATCAGGCAGAAGAGACAGGCACGGGAGCAGCATTTGGACCGGCCCTCGACCAACCGACGGAGGAAGAGCCCCAACAAGAACAAGGGGCTCTGCAATGGGAACCTGGTCGACATCTTCTCTAAAGTGCGCATCTTCGGCCTCAGGAAGCGGAGACTACGGAGACAAGGTCTGGGAACTTGAGTGTGCAAGGTGGCTGCTTTGTCAGTGTAAACATGTCCATACATGCAACCACTAGTTGATAGCTCTAATTAGGCCTCCAACAATCATAATTACATTGGCTCCAGTGTGGTTTAAGAGCAGGAGGTGATGTGAAATGATACTAATTTATACCCTCGCCAAATTGCACAACCGTGCGTAAAAGTTAAATTGAGTGTGAGCGAGTGTTCTGTGTCATATATTGGGCCAGTTGCTTGAAAACAACAAACCTGCCTCTGATTTCCATGCAATCCCAGGTAGCTGACAGGCTCCTGACGAGTTGTACCAAATGGTTTGGACAGCTTTACCGAGCTGTCACCTCGGCGATTCTGAAAAGGGGCCTGATCGTTATGAAGCACACACACACATACACACACACGATTCGCCAGAACTGCTTGCTACATAAGCACAGAAATGAAACTCATTTATATGCAAGCAAAAAGGTCAATATCTCCCGCGGAATGGAGGTTACGCCTTTCAAACATAATCTTTTTCTCGCATAATTTTTTTGTACGAATTGGTGGGCCAATGGCCTCTCACAGCTCCAGCTCATATCCGTTCCACTTATGAAAATGTCATGAACATTTTTTTTTTCTTTTTGCTGTAATGTGGCAACCTGGGATTGTAAAAAAGAGCACTGACAACAATTATTTCACTGCTGGAATCAGTGCCAACTGCGAGGGTAATTTTTCTTCCCAAAAATGAATTAAGATAATTCATTTAGGGAAGAAATGACTTCAATTGTTTCCGCTTGTTAGGGGATGATGGAAGGTGGCTGTAGGTTCCTGTTGGAATCATCAGGTATCAAACCTGTTGCATCAACTTCAACTGATAAACACCATTTTGTGTCTGATTTAGCTGCAGACTTATATTTCAAACAGCTTTTTTGTTTCTAACAAAGCACCTACTGTAGAAGCAGTTTTGAGTCTTTCATCTTGTTTACAAAGACCCATTTTGATAGCTGAGCCTCTCTTGTCCTCTTCCTGTGTTCATGTTGAACAATCCTGTGAGTGATAGTGTCCCCATCACCAGCCCTTATATTACATGGATTACAATGGCTTTGATATAACAGGATCTATACAGCAGCACATCTGGACACAGGTCAGGCTGCATCAGAATCCCAGCTGGGTGTCCTCCAGAATGCTGTTTCTGCTTCTCCCCACTGTGTGTATGTGTTTGGACATGGTTGCCCCAATGTTTGTGTGTCTAATTGCCCGTCCTCCTCTTGTCACATTGGAATTGGCTTGTGGCGCATCTATGTTTTTCATTTGAACACCACTAGTGTCCAGCAGCCCCCACAGCTGAGCCGTGGACAGACGATGCTGTCATTTGGTCTGGGATTTAACGTCTGGCCCGGGCAGTAGGAAAAAAACCCACACAAGGCTCTTTTCTTTTGTTGGTGTGGTGTGTATTTGAGCATTTTATGGATGTAAACAATTGGGATGTGGCCCAGATGTGTGTGTGTGAGTCAGACAGACATGTGGATGCTAAATTAATCTGCACCGGCGACCCTGAAATGACTTGACAGCACCACACCTGCAAACGGCCATTTTATAGAGCAACTTAGGGGCCTCCCTGAGCCTCGGAGTGGTGACGGTAATACACAGTAACAGTGCCGGCACAAGTGTTGGTGAACTGTGTCTGCAAGATGTGAAACACTCGTGCTGAAAGTGAAAATGAAAGGGGGGAAGCCGCTTTTAAAAAATGGGTGTTTTGTCCTCATTTTTGAAGCTCTAATCAGAACACAGGGCAAACTGTTTTCTCTTGCTTTAATTGTATGTTATTTGTGATTAGAGGTCTAATGGGAATATACTCCATTAATTTCACCCTCTCGTGAGAATTAGGAAAATCTTTACCGAGTGATATCAGGCTTTGTTGTCAAAGGGAGAGGGGGGGGCCTGCTTTGAAAATACTGCACATACGGCTGTTTCTCTCCTCGCCACACCTCTCTCACACACTTTCCTTCCTCTCTCTTATTCACCGAATTATCACAAGAGCACACAGTTTAGGAAGACTAATGGCCTGTTTGGTGTGCTTAATTTAATATTGGCCCCCGGAAGGAGTTTTTGTGTGTGTGCGAGTGAAAGTCGAATGCACCGGCGATCACGTGTTGTGGTAACGCAGGCAGACATACACAGTTGTCTTTATTTCCCAGGTGAGAGAGAGACTTCCCTTTGACAGCTCATCCTGCACAGAGCAGAGCAGCCGTCTAACCATCAAGCATGTTATTATATATTGAAGTCACATTCAGATTCCCACTGAGATCTGCCAGGGTGAGGAGCTGGAGGTGTCTGAGAGTGTACTCTAACACCAGTATTCCCTTTGGCTTTGAGTATTGATCATGTGAGACACTAGATTAGCTATTGTTACGGGGCCGTATTGATTGGCACTGACATAAATTGTGTTTTTTGAGCCAGAGCTTTTCGGTCGAATTCAAAGAAAAGGTATCAAAAGTCAATAGTTATTACCTTCATCTTTTAAATGCTGTTACTACGACAGGTTCTGCATAGAAACAGAGTGCATGTAGACCTATATAAGCAGTAGAAAATTTAAAAAAAAAAAAAAAATGAAGTGTCTGCTTCATTAGAATGCACAGATGTGGTTTCCTGTCCTCGTCCAACACTTGGGGGAATCTGCCGGGGAAATGCCGTCATATCAGCTTTAATTCTAAGTCATCCATGCATTTTGATAGCAGATGCAGAGCCAGTGATCACAGATATTTTAAGGGATTAGATGTGAGTTGTAAATCCTATTACACCCAAACCCAGTAAAGTGAGCTGTGGGCACATCCAGCTGGGGCTCGCCCGTAATCTCGCCGCTCTGGCTCTAATTATCTCACTAGATTAGATCCATAGATCATTAGATCATGTTACATAGATCAGACCATTAGATTACATGATCTCCAACGCTTCTTTTCCCCCTGTAACGCGGCTGTTTATTCCAGAGCATGTTGACGGCGCACAGCAGTGCGTCAACAGTCGTCTCTCAGAGCCGTCTGCATCAGATGAGTTATTGTCGGGATGTCGGAGATGTTGTTGATAGAAGAGGAATGGGAAAAGGCGTGGTAGCCTCCCTCTGCTTGATCTACTTTTGCATGACAACAGAAGCAACATGAAGGGGTTTTTCCTTCGCCGGGCTGGAAAAGCCCTTCTCCTATTCCAGAAACATCCAAAGTGGGTCAGGCAGGGCAGGGCTGACAGCAGTCTACAACTGCTGCTGCAGCTGTGCCCGCATGCGTGTGTGTGTCCTTATACTGTGTGCTGTTTGCTTTACACAGAGCTGAACATGTGTCTTTGCGCACACACACACACACACACACACACACACACACACACAGACTGAGGAATGACACAACAGAAAATAAGACAGGAAGGGGAGCTGCAGGGAGGCCACGTTTGAAAAGAAAGCAAAAAAAAAAAAAAAATCACAACCTTTCTGTGACAGTTCAATTTATATGCAGAGAGGACTTCTGCTGCAGAACGACCCGATTTGAGATCTAACAGTTTTGATGCTTGTTGTTTTCCAAGGAAACCCCCTGCTGCTGCCAAACCACCACTCTGTTTCCCTAGAAACAAAGAAATGGCATCTACAGTGTTTCTGTTGTAAAAACTAATACCAGTGCAACCGGGAAAGTCTGACTGCAGCAGATCCTGGATGTTGTTTAGGTCTGTTACAGAGGGAGACAGAAACGGAGACAAAAAGACAATGAGTAACAGAAGAAAGAGGCGAATGAGTCAAGGACCTTTTCGACTTTGGGGATCCCACAGAGACATTTCCAAAGCAGTCCTTTTTAAGAGCGCACACAAAGCCTGTCTGACCGAACTGAAAACGCTGTATCATTCTAAAAAACACTCCTTCATATCTTTACATACATTTCTATTCTTACATTCCCTTTGTCACAGTTCTCGTTCTCTCAGTCTCGATTTGATAAACTGCCTCACTTTGCTCAATATTTCATAAACAATGCACAATAAATGAGAGCGTCTCTGCGGGCCGTTCAATGAATCTCAGCTCGCAAGACTATGAATTACCTCAAATCCATCGAAAACATTTTATCTAACATCCATCAGTAAGTTTGACCTTCAACATGAATTGCATCAATGATTTGCCAGCTTTGTAATAATTGCAGGACCCATTATGTCACCCTAATGTATGCACTGGCATACACCAATGTCTGATGTGAAACTGTCAGTCATAAATAATGCTCTGGGTGCTCGAGGACGTGATGCATTCCAGGACGTATTCACTCAGACACCCCTCTGAATACCATTATGTCACCAGCTATATATATGACTTAAACTTCTCCAGTTTGGTCTACATCTTTTCTATCTAGTTGTTTCCCCTTTTGATAAATTAGCCGAAATATAACAGATTCCAGCTCACTCCTGCTGCAGCTCTGAAATACTGTCGAAACCGGAGGGGAAATCCGTGTGTGTGTGTGTGTGTGTGTGTGTGTGTGTTAGATATACTGGCTGGCTCGCCCCAGGGAACACAGCCAACATCACATGATTTATAGCATGATGGCAGAGCCAAGTTCACCTACACACACACATACACAAACACGGGGAGTATTCACACAGCCAGCAACCAGTTATGCAGTTTTAATTATTACGGATTGCCCCCCACGGATCAGTCTTCAGAATCAATCACACCGCCACACATTGTTTAAATGCTGCTGATCAAAGTCATTAATCGATCGCAGGTTAGCCAACTTTGTGTGTCCGCGGCAGAGTGTTCGCTCAGGGGAATTGTGCAGTCATTAAAAATCCATGTGAAATAGTTTGTGTGACGCTTGTGTGTTTGTGTGTGTGACCGTGTTTCCCTGCCTCGCCCTATATTATACGCTGGTTTTCAGGTTATAGGCTCCATATGGTGTGCGTGACTGCAAGAGCATTATTAATCAATGAATTCAGTCCTGTCCATTGTTGGGATCTCCCACGGAAGAGAAAGAAATAGTTAAAAGGAAGAGGTTGCCAGTGAAACAATGAAGGCAGAGGTGCATTTGAATTCTTGTTTTTTCCCACTCTGATAGGTTGTCAGTGGCTTGCACCATCTCTTTGATGCAGATTAAGTGTCTGATATATGAAGTACAGACATCTTGAAACATTTAGTAGATGAATCAGTTAGTCTACTGACAGAAAATTAAAAGTATTGTTGCACAGTTTGAGCACATGCAGAGACATCCCAACGTGCACCTACATCTACACTAGGTCAACTGATGTATCCCTTTTGGTTTTCTATTTTTGTGTCATTACAAACTCACAATTACCAACTAAATTGTAACATGTCTGTCAATCAGCAGTTGTTAAAGGTATTAATCAAACAAATCCTTGTTGGTCCCAGCTTCTCTAATGTGAGATTACTCATGTTTCTTTGTTTTATAGAGTTATAAATTGAGTATCTTTGGGTTCTGGACTTTTGGTTGAATAAAACAAGACATTTCAGTGTGTAGTATTGAACTCAGGAAACTTGTGATGGTCGTACTCTTTGTTATTTTCAGACATTTTACAAACTTAACTATGGAAGCCCCTCTCTGCCATAAAAGAAAAACAGTATAAATAAATGAATTAAATGAATCAGTCATGATTAAAAAGGCAATTTTTATATTAAGTCAGAGGTATGAGATAGGAAGTTAAATGGGCTTCTTTTCAAAATTATTAAAATTTCAGTAACAGATGAAAAATATGGGCAGTACGGTGGCCTTGTTGCCTCACCGCAAGAGGGTTCCTGGTTCGAACCCAGGGTGAGGGACCCCTTCTGTACAGAGTTTGCATGTTCTCCCTGTGTCAGCGTGGGTTTTCTCCAGCTTCCTCCCACAGTCCAAAGTCATACAGGTTAACTGGTGACTCTAAATTGTCCGTAGGTGTGAATGTGAGTGTGAATGGTTGTCTGTCTCTATGTGTCAGCCCTGTGATAGTCTGGTGACCTGTCCAGGGTGAACCCTGCCTCTCACCTACCCTGGAAATCCAGAGTTCTCACGAGAGCACAATTTGAATTTGCTCAGCAAGTCACTCTGGCAATCAGTAATGATGCTCATTACCTATGTCCATGAAACCGAGCTGCACCAATCACATCAATGTATCTGATATAGGCGGGCCAGAGGCGAGCTAAACAGATGACGACAGCGCTGCGACGACGAAGTCCGGAATCAGTCAGTAAACATTGCAGGATGGCTACGGATGAACACTAGTTGTTTGAAACAGCTTTGGCCGCTACAATGAACGAGTTAGACTTGGCTTTTTCTCTAAAAGAGGAACAGAAGACGGCGCTCGAATCTTTCCTTTGCAAGAAGGAAGTTTTTGCTGTTTTGCCGAACGGATACGGCAAGAGTCTAATCTACCAGTTAGCTCTGCTGGTAGCTAAGCGTATACGTCACCCCGTGTATTGTTCTGATTGGTCTTAGTGTTATCCAATTGCGTGCAGTGATATTTACAAATGCATGCTTGGTGCTGCCCCTCGAGTTGGGCCATTTTCATTACTCATGGCCAGACCCTAAATCTTTCTAGATTTGGGTCTGGATTTCCAGGCTGCCTCTCACCCAGTGTCAGCTGGGATAGGCTCCAGCACCCCACGACCCGCTCGAATGAACAAACAAAAAATACAGCTTGCTTACCATACACGACAATGTGAGTTTTAAGTCACACACTATAAGATTTTGCAACTAGATTCCTTTTGAGATTATTTCCCAATGTGCACTTGGTGGAAAATATTACACCAAACTCCCTTTAAAAAATATGACATTTAAACAATTCCTTACATGTCTGCAAAAACACATAACTCTAGAAACATAAGACAAAAGGTGTCATATGTCGACAGTGCTCTTGGTAATTCGGCATCAATATTATCTATGAAAATAAACTGTATGTGCGCACAAACTTAACATTTTTTATTTTGTTAGCCTCAGCTCACTTCCAGCCTCTGTTGGTTAGCTGCGCTCTTTTAGTGGGAGGAGACAGTAAGAATAAGAGGGGAACGGTTACAAAACTTAGGACCTCTCTCAAAATAAATACCAGTTGGCAGATCAAATGTACACCAAATTAAGCATAAACTCTTGTTCATTCTACAACTACCCGTTTCTCCTCCTTTGCCTCGGTATAAGAGACCCAAGACTCGTTAACACTCTTATGCCCCCCTGGAGTCCCCTTCATGTTTACCGTCTACCCGGTTTTCTGCTTTCTGTTTGGTGCTGAAGAGAGTGCACCTATTGGTTGCAGACAGTGTCCACATCACTGAACTTCAGTACTTGCGTGAGCCAAGGCTAAAAACTCACCATATTATTAAACAACAGAAATGGCAAGACAAGAAAAAGACGTATATAAAACAGCTCAGGCTTAGTTTTGTGACCACCTGATGCTAAACAATCAAGGGAGCGCTCATGATTTTATTCCAACGTTAGAAATTTGTTCACTTGAAAAGTCATTAGCTGTAAAGCCGTCAGTGATTGTAATGAACATTTTTGTAGCTGTAGCCCTGGCATGAAATTGACGGTAGGAAACAGAGTCTGGACGATACAGAAATACCGTCTGTCTCCTGTTCATAATGGAGAGAATCCCTCTTTGTGTTACTCAAGTTCATCAGATAGCACCCAGGAGACAGAGAAAAGATGACGGCCTCGCTGTGACATCTTTCTCTCGCCGAAGATTTGACTGCACGGAGTATTATTGTAAACCAGAGAGATACTGTCACCGTCCTGTCAGCCTGCATAATTCGCAGCCGAGGCACTCTGACAGTCACATTCTGCTTTAGCCACCTTTTCATTGTTCTGGTAAGGCAACAAAGCAGCGCCGTTGAATGCCGTTGTAGCGCTATAGCTGGGATACACCGGCAGAGAGGCACTTTCTCTCCTTCTCAGGCAGCAGGGAAAGGTCTCAGAGCTCCCTAATGCCATCACCCGGCAGAGGCATTTCAGAAGAGACTGCCTTGAGCTGTACACCGACAGGAAAAAAAAAAAGCCTTTCTCTGCCCTCAGCAAGACCTCTTGAGTTCTCCTCTGTGGCTATGCTCCCTCTCTATATATCTCTCATTTTCTCTCTTTGTCTCTCTCTCTCACACCCACACACACACACACACACACACACTCACACACATACAGTTGCTTGCAAGGAGCACGGTTTAGGCTCAGGTGAAGTTGATTGTTCACTTCCCCAGGGCTTTCTTAGAATGAAATCTGGTGTGATGGCTGTCTCTACAATAAGACTAATGTTGATGCTATATGACCCCAGTGGTTGTCCATGTACACACCCAACACACACACACACTCACACACACCAGATGAAGAAATATTGTTGCACAGCTTGAGCACAAGCAATACTTTCCCAGAGACATCCCAAATGTGCAGCCACATGCTGGTTTATTAAAATATATCCTTTTAAGTTTCCCATTCCCTTACTTTTTACATTTTCACTTTTGCCAGCTGAATTGCAGCATGACTGGCTCAGCTTGCAGTGGCGCTGGGCAATTTAACCGCAACAGTGATTTATTTACAGTAGATATGTGGCTAATTCCCCGGTTGGGTCAGCTGGAAGGGACGCTCTCACATCCTACACACTAAGGACCCAGAGAGGGTGCTGTTGGGTTCATTATGGGAGTCAGGCGACCACAGATTAATTCTGCTGCCTATAATTGGATGGCCTATCTCTGAGCAGGGCAGGGCTTATGTGCCCAGAAAGTTGGCTGTGGGATTTGCCTGTGAACATACACAGGAGTGCTGTGAAATAGTTCTGCCTGGTGTTTCACGGTAGTTAAAACCCTCTGAAAACAACGTAATAAAATATATTCGCTATATGAAAGCATATTTCTTGAATTGGTTTGGTATAGTAGTGTTTGTAACAAGCTTTGCATCATTTTGCTGATTGCTAATGTTTCCCCCTCCTGTTCTGTCTCCCTCTTTCTCTCCTGCAGATCCCCAGCTCAAGGGTATAGTGACCAGGTTATATTGCAGGCAGGGATACTACTTGCAAATGAACCCCGATGGCTCTCTTGATGGGACCAAGGATGACAGCAGTAATTCCTGTGAGTACCTTGACAGTGTCTGTCAGCCTTCTAGAGCAAACATCTGATAGTTGTCAAGACGTATCTAGTTACGTGTTCTTAAAGGTCCAGTGTGTAAAAATTAGGGGCATCTATTAGTAGAAATGGTCTATAATATTCAGCACTATGTTTTTATCAGGTTATAATCACTTGAAATCAAGAATTGTGTTTTCGTCACCTTAGAATGAGCTGTTTATATATACATATGGAGCAGGTCCTCTGCCACAAAGTCTGCCATGTTATTCTGCAGAATTCCAGAATGGACAAACCAATCACTGACTCTAGATAGGGCCATTCACATTTTATTTTGCCTTTCGAATTGGCCACCATAGATCTCCTATACGCTTTGCACACAGAGTTTCAAGTCTGCAACCTCACTGCTAGATGCCACCAAATCCTACACACTGGACCTTTTAGAGGTGCTGTATACGACATTCAGGACATTAATATAGCAGCAAACACTATTTGCAATGTAAAGATATAGTGGAGGCTTCCTAAGCAGAGATGAAGTCATGCTACTTCTGTGTAGGTTGTAATAAGAGCCGGTCTGGCCGCGCGTGCATGTTCCCACTGGCTAGCTAATAGCCACCGCTCTGCGCTGTGCTCATATGGCGGTTACTGCTTAAAACCTCGTCCCGACCCACAGTCGTAGATAGGGCTGCAACGATTAGCCGACTAATCGATGACTAATCGACTATTAAAATAATCAGTGACTATTTTAGTAGTCGACTAAATGGTTTGAGTCAGTTTTCATAGAAAAGTACTAGAAATTTACCCCAAAAATACTCTTATTGCAGCTTCTTGCATTCAAATATTGGCAGCTTTACACACTCTCCCATGACGGTGAACTAAATCCCTTTGGCGTGAGTACGAAACAAGATGACATAATTTTGGGGTTTGGGAGAGACAGACTGACATTTTTCAACATTTTAACACATTTTTAGATAAAATGATTAGTTGACTAATTGAAGAAATAATCGACAGATTAGTCGACAATGAAAGTAATCATAAGTTGCAGTCCTAGTCGTGGAAAAGCATGGTGCAGAAAGGTAACCGTCCAGCATGGATGTATGAAGAGAACTAGACAAAGCAGTGGAGATGGGACCCCGTTCATTCTTATAAAAGTTGCTCAGTGGTGCATGAAGCCAAAACATACTGCTGCCACATCTAAAATTACCCAGATGATCAGCACTGCTTCTGCATCATTAGGCCCATAGAGCAAGAATGCTAGAGACTTCTGCCGGCCAAGCCAGCTTCTTTTGGTATAATGCTCCATGGTCTTAAATTGTGCGACTCTTCAAACTTTCAAAATGCCATCACACTGAATGGATTCAATTCTGATAGTACAATGAGTCATTTTGCAGGGGTTGTGGTGCTCAAAAAAATGTATCCACTGATACGCAGGCATCTTTTTTCCAATGTAAGTCTATGGGGAAAAGTCTTTTTTGGCCCAAAAGCATCACATAACAGACTATGAAAATTGGCACATCCTGGGGGTCTGCACTCTGATTCCCATCCAGGTTAACAATGTTACCTCTGTCAGCACTGTTGTTGTTGCCATAGGCTGCTAGTCGACAGCTCAGCCACCTCCATATTGAGAGCCATGTGCAGGCAATCACAGTTACACTCTCAATCATAGATATGCTCTGAATGTCCCATACAGCTCCTTTAAAATCTGTATAACTTCCTTGAACACAAAGGTTTTATTTCTGGAAAGAGCCTTCCTCACTTCCTGAGCTAGATTTATCTCTCAGGTGCAGAAAATGAACCGGCAATCTACCTGTCACGTTTCTCTAACCTTCAAGCTAATGCCTCCCCTCATTTTTCAGCCTTTAGAGCAAAACTGTCTCCTTAAATGGCAGCTATAATATCACACAGACTTGCCCTCCTCTCTGAGAGGGAAAGTGGACCAGGAAACAGTAGGCTTAACAGGGAGAAAAGGGTATTATTAGCTTGTTCTGGCACTGCTCCTCTGGCGCTCCAGGCTAGGTGGTTAATTTGATTCCAGTGCTTGGTGCTAACACTAGCCTGACACTCCACATTGTGTCACTTAACTCCTGTCAGCATGAGGAGATGTGGCACATGTCACATCTGATAGGCTGAGGGGACTTATTGAAACAGCAGGCAATACATATAGTGTGCACAAGAGATGGGTCATATCATTAAAACCACAAGATTAAATCAAGTTGGCACCGACTGCTCCACATTAAATCTGACATTTTCAGAATTGGCCAAAAGCCACCAAAAACCCAGTGGTCATGCAGTACTTCTCCCAGCTTCTGTCTCAAAACCTGCCAATACCAATTACTCACAGGGTCAGCAGAGGCCATAATGCACCTTTAAGTCTCCCATATACACACACATAATGTCAAAGTCCTGTTTTTTCTCACCAGTACAAACAATAGCCATTACCCACCAGGCCCAAGGAGTCTGCTACAACAACAAAAGGCCTATTAGATCTGCCACGCACCAGTGGTGGCCCCAATTACAGCTACTTCTCAGGTAGCTCTGGGTGGCCGCGGCTATGCTAGGCTAGTCACGTTCGCCAGCCAAGCTGCAATTCATCTTCAGAGATTACCTCAACGCAACAGCTAGCAATTGTATTATCTATGCTTTGTGAAGCAGTAATGACAGGCAGCTCGCATTTGGATGATGAATTGCACGATAATGTTTCAGTGTATTTAGAGTTTGCCTAATGGTTAGAGTCGTCTATGATAATGATGTTTGGTGATGTTTTTATGTATTTGTGTGTTTGCCTGTTCACATGTGTGTCTTTCAGCTTTGTTCAACCTTATTCCTGTGGGCCTCAGAGTTGTCGCCATTCAGTCCGTGAAGACAGGGTTATACATCGCCATGAACGGGGAGGGCCATCTGTACACATCAGTAAGCAGGCTCTTCTGTTCTATTGTCAAATAAATGAGCATGTCTTGATAATGTACTTTATTATGTTGGTACATAAGGGCACACAAAGGACTGCATCACACACAATCACAATGCATTATGTTAAATACGTGTCCCGATTTAAGGTGTGTTTGTATCTGTATTATGTGTGTTGTATATATAAAATATAATAGAGATTCAAATATAGATGTAGATATGGATTCAACAACATGACAAGGAGGACACTTTTTTTCCAACAAGGGGCCCTGAACAGTCCTCAGATATTTACCACGTTTGCAACAGGATAATTGCATTTCACTGAAGGTTAGGGATCCTATTAAGCAGAAATTCATGCATATAGATTTCTATTCATCAGGTTAAATGCCCCAAGAGTTTTCATCCCAGATGAAAAAAAAAAAAAACATTTACATCAGGTGACATAATTCAGGACGAACTCATATTTTGCTTTCTCACAGGGGATCTGCGTTCGTGCTATTAGAGAGTAGTATTATGTCTGTTAGTGTATAAGAATGAAATAGATGTATGCTATGCAGAGATATACTGTGACAAATATGTTTAGCATCATATAAACGAAGTCTCAAAAACCCCAGGCTTCTGAATACAAAAGTTTGTATTTCGTAGCATAGTCATTGCCCAGCTGCCAGTACACTGCTAATGTACATTTAGCGACATGCTAATGTCAGAGAAACATGTAATCTTGGTTGCCCGTGTAATCAATTTCTCCCCAAGCTGGATCACATTCCTTCTGGAACATTTCCAGCTGTGTTTAAAGGCTTTTATTGGTGACTTTTCATGGTAAAAAGTGATGCTCTACTTTGTTACAGTTGTTTCCAGGCTGCAGGTACACAGCTACATGTAGCTACATGCTAACATCTGGAAAATATAATCATGGTTGGCAATGTTGTTTATTTCTTCATGATTTCTGGTCATATTCCTGCTGGAACATGCCCCGTTATCATGCCACCATAAAAGTGCCACTATTCTCTGTTTCAGTTATTCATCAGCTGAGAGTACGCTGCTAACGGGCATGATGCTACATTCTAAAATCAGGGAAACATTTAATCCTGGTTGCTGATTTTGTAAATTTCTCCCCGATTTTGGACCAGATTCCCGCTGGAAAGTGTGAGATTGTGTTTAGAAGCTTTTATAGGTTATTTCTAAATGGAGAAAATGTAGTTATACTCTGATTAAGTCATTCCCTGACTGCCAGTACACTGATAATGTACATTTAGCTACATGCTAACGTCAGAGAAACCTGTAATCTTGGTTGCCAATGTTGTTGATTTCTTCACGACTTTGTATCAAATTCCTCGTGGAAGATGTCCAGTTGTCATACCATAGTAAAAACTGTTGCAAAATCTGTAATCTTCGACGCTGATGTTGTACATTTCAAACATTACCCAATTTTAGATCATATTCCTGCTGGAACATTTCCGGTTATGTTAAGAAGCTTTTCTTAGTGATTAATGGGAGATAGTGCTGCTTTACTCCGTTACAGTCGTTCCCCAGCTGCCAGTACACTGCTGCTAACATACATTTAGTGACATGCTAACGTCAGGAAAACCCATAATCTTGGTTGCCCTTGTAGTCAATTTCTCCTCAGTTTCAAATGCTTTTCCCGCTGGAACATGTGCAATTGTGTTTAGAAACTTTAACTGGTGATTTTTAACAGGAGAAAATGTTACTATACTCTGTCAAAGTCATTCCCCAGCTGCTAGTACTAGTACTAGCTAATGTACACTTAGCTGTATGCTAGCATCAGGGAAACATGTTATCATGGTTGCCCTTCTTGTTAATTTCTCCACAGTTTCGGATCATATTCCTGCTGGAACATATCCAGTTGTGTTAACACACTTTTATTAGTGAGTCTTCACAGAAAATGTGCTGCTATACTCAGTTACAGTCGTTCCCAGGCTGCAAGTACACTCCTACATGTAGCTACATGCTACCATCAGGGAAACATAAACATTGTTGCCGATGTTAATTTCTCCCTATTTTAGATCATAATCCTGCTGGAACATATCTGGTTATGTTAAGAGTCTTTTACTAATGACTTTTCATGGTAAAAAGTGCCGCTTTTATGCGTAAAGGTGCTCACAGACTAGTGCGTACTATAAGCGGAGCGGACTCCGCAAGGAATGTCCACAGTCATTCGGGCTTCCATAGTTGAGCGCACTTCCGCGTTGTAGTTTCCTGTAAAAATGTCCGTGAAAAATCCCCGCGATGTGAAAAATACACGCCGAGCAGTCTTTTGTGTGACACTGGTGTGCGGAGCGGAGCACAGGGCTTGCGGACCTCTGCTTTTAGTCCGGACAGACCTCCGTGGAGTCCGCTCCGCGTACGTTCCGCCCGAGTATGTTTGGACCTTAAGAGTCGTTTCTAGGCTGCAAGTACACTGCTACATGCTAACGTCAGGGAAATGTAATCTTGTAGTTAATTTCCCTGCAGTTTGGATCATATTCCTGCTGGAAAATGTCCGGCTGTGTTTAAAGGCTTTTATTGGTGACTTTTCATGGTAAAAAGTGCTGCTATACTCTAGTACAGTCGTTCCCAGGCTGCTGGTACACTGCTATATGTAGCTACATGCTAACGTCAGGCAAGCAATCTCAAACGGAACGTCTCAGACAGAGGGTGAATACAGGTGCTCCAGCACAGACAGTATGAGGAAAATAAAATGTTTTGTGATCATCGAAGGCTGTAAACATGTTCTATTACAAACCCAAAACACGTATGTATGTATGAATGTGAAAACAAGCATTATAGGTCCCCAAGTGTCTGAAATACAGCGCTGTTGTTGACCGAAGGTAGGACATCAGAGCAGCCATTCTTTTTCACTCTGTAGTCACCCACTGTTATTGACTGACTCTCTTCAGAATAAACAAGGCCTCTGCAGGCTAGAGAGCCAAGGGGGTGATAAGACCTTGCCCGGCACAGATAGTGCTTCTCGTCTCACTCCTCCACTCTGTCCTCTCCCAGTCATTCAAATCAATCAGCAGGAAGAACATTGGGAGTGCTGCTCCTCTCCCAGACAGGAGTATCCATCAGAATCACTGTCTCCTCTTCCCTCTGTCCTCATGTTCCTAATCCTCAGAGCGCAGAGCAGGGATTGCCATCTTATTCTTCATTTTATTACCTTGGAGGTTTAGAGGGGCTACTTCTCTTACAGTACAATGCACCGGTATTCCACTGGAATTCTCTCATACTTAATCACTGCTTGACTTAAGCCAGGAAATGAAATTCATTTTAGGAGGATTGACCTAGAATCCTATGGATGTAGTTAAGGAATGGCACAGTAGGGATTATGAATTAATATATTCTATGGGTGCTTTTTATACCACATAACACACTGGACAGTATAATTTGCACGATGCGTTGATTACACTCAGTCTTTTTCGCTTGCAAACACACACTTCAGCACATGTGATAGCATAGCAAGAAATATAAAGCCTAATTGTCAGACCTAAATTTTAAAGATATGCACACTTTAAACAACATGTTTTTATTATTATTAACCCACTGTGAAGGGCAATAAAAGCAAAGGCAAAAAGACAACATTTAAAAATTTGCAAAACCATAGATAAAGGATAAGGATAGATCTGAGAAAAGGTTTAAAATGGTTTAGAAACAATTTTAAACCCAAGAATATGGAGCAATATTATTTAAATGCAGTACAGATAATCTCTGCAGTTCAGTGCTTCCTCTACATAATTAGTGCAGATAATTGATTTAGATCTGTATTAGGATTAATGCCCAGCACATACATTAGTAGTTACAGCTGCATAAGTCATAAATCTGACTATAGAGCTCCAGATGTGGCACACACAGGCCAGTCACCAGGAGAAGATTGTACATTTCTGCACACCACGGATATGTTACAGTTGTGTCTTTCATATGAATCATATCAGTATCATATCAATGTTTCTGAAGTGATGTTGCGTATGAGCTGACTTTGTCATCTGGAGGTGGAGGGGATGGTGACTGGCGTGACACCAAGGTAAGACAGCTGCCAAGCTTCAGGCTCCTGCAGGTCACTGTTACAGCGGCTTTTGTGCTGCAGAATCTCTGTGATATTAGCAACCCATCACCACTTCTCTTGCGGCTTTAGTGCCATTGAACAGGGGTGTTTTTTAATCGACCCCTCACCACTTTTCCAGTGGGTTTTATGCAGCAGTACATGGGTGTTTTTTTTAGTGACCATTCGCTGCTTTTTGTTGTTGTTGAATGTGGAAATTTTTTCTGTCGCCGCATTTCCAGTGGCTTTTGTGCCGCGAAAGTAGGTGTTTTCGAGGGACTTGTCGCCACTTTTCTGGGGAGTTTTGGGGCCGCTAAGCTTGGGTCTTTTTTGCAAACAGTCGCTGCTTTACTAGCAGCTTTTCTGATGTTGACAGTGGGTGTTTTTAGAAACCTGTGGATGCTTTTTTTACTGGTTTTTGTACCCCTGAATGTGGGTGTTTTTTAGCTACACATTGGGCTTTACTAGCTGCTTTTATGCTTTGGATGTGCGTGCTTTTTAGTTACCTGACATTCTTTCAACAGCAGCTTTTGTGTTGCCAAATGTGTGGTTTTTTAGCTACCTATTGCTGCTTTTCCACAGCTTGGGCTTCCAAATAAAAAATGATATTTTTCTAACCATAACTAAGTGATTTTTGCAGCTAAAATAACCACACTTTAATGACAGCATAGTTAGAATGAATAAATAAATTGTTTGATTTCATGTCTGGCCGTTTCAACATGGCCCACCCGTTATGGGATTATGGGTGGGCCGCACTTTGGAAAGCAGAGCTAAATGGTAAACAAACATAGCACCACACCGGTAAGGTAAGACAACACGTTTACATGTCATTTTCTATATGTTCTCTGACATTTATCCTAACGATATGAGGCGGTCTTTGTGGAAAAAAAGCTTGTTTAGTGGACTAACTTTGCACTTGAAGGTTACCCGTTCACTTACGCTACGCTAGGTCTTACGCTACTATGCGCCC